CCTCTGGTCCACAGGCCCTTTGGCCCCCCTGGTCCTTTGGTCCTGGTCCGGTCCCGTGGTCTCCTGGTCCTTTGCCCTCCTGGTTCTCTGGTCTGCGGGTTTCCTATGGTATTCTCCTTGTTCTTAGCTGTGCCAGCGCAAAGGTGAATGAAAGTGCAGGCTCAGCTCTGACGACCCCGCAAGTTGGCCTTCACCTTGAGCTGTGACGCCCAATTAAACCAATCAAGAAACGAAGCAGCCCAGCGCTGTCTATACTTGATTTGCACCCCCTCCCGCTTTCTTAGTAGATTGCCACTACCCCTGCCATTACCAGTACCGGCAACACCAGTCTTACCACAGTTACCACAACTACTATCTTCTTTGCGTTGACATTGACAGTGCCCCAAGGGTGGATGATAAGGCCCGCCTTTGCTTAGCCGTGACTGCGCCCTCCCCCGCCCCCCTTCCCACCTTTTTAAAAGTTGCCACTACCACTACCACTACCACTACCACTACTACTACTACTACCACCACCACCACCTACTACTACTCCTACCACCTACTACTACTACTACTACGACCACCACCACCACCACCTACTACTACCACCTAGTACTACTACTACTGCTACTACTACCGCCTACGACGACTACTACTACTACAACTACAACTACAATAACAACAACAACAACAACAACTACTACTACTACTACTACTACTACTGCTAACTGCTAACTGCTAACTGCTAACTACCGACTACTGACTACTAACTACTTAGTACTTAGTACTTAGTACTTACTACTTCCTACTTCCTACTTCCTACTTCCTACATATTACTTACTACTTACTACTTACTACTACTACTACTATTACTACTACTACTACTACTACTACTCCCACTCCCACTCCTACTCCTACTACTACTACCACTACTACTACCACTACTCCTACCTACTGCTACTACTACTACTACCACCACCTACTACTACTCCTACCACCTACTACTACTACTACCACCTACTACTACCACTACTACCACCACCACCACCTACTACTACTGCTACTACTACTGCTACTCCTACCACCTACTACTACTACTACTACTACTACGACAGCTACTACTACTACTTCTTCTTCTACTACTACTACTACTACTAGTACTAGTACTACTACTACTACTACTATTACTACTACTACTACTACTACTACTACTACTACTACTACTACTAACTACTACTAACTACGACTAACTACGACTAACTACTACGAACTACTACAAACTACTACAAACTACTACTAACTACTACTAACTACTACTAATAACAACTACTACTACTACTACTAACTGCTAACTGCTTAGTACTTACTACTTACTACTTACTACCTTTTACGTACTACTTACTACTTACTACTTACTACTTTTCTACTACTACTACTACTACTCCTACTCTCCTACTCTCCTACTCTCCTATTCTCCTACTCCCCTACTCCCCTACTCCCCTACTCCCCTACTCCCCTACTGCTACTCCCCTACTCCCCTACTCCTACTCCCCTACTCCCCTACTCCTACTCCCACTCCTACTCCCACTCCTACTCCCACTCCTACTCCTACTCCTACTACTACTACTACTATCACTACTACTACTACTACCACCTACTACTAC